AGGGAGAGGCTCCCGCCCTGGGCACTGGCCGGTGGCGGCTTCCCCATCCCCCTCACCGTTACGCGCGCGGGGGGCCACTACTTCATGCCCGGCGTCCTCTGCGCCCCCACGGAGATCGCCCGGGGACGGGCGTCGGGGGGCGACCGGGAGGCGGGGTCGGTCCTGGCCCAGATCACAGCGCTCTGCCGATCCGCGGCGACGCTGATCGAGCCGCTCGAGCGGCACTTTGGCGGGACCTATGGGGGGGTCTGTTTTGTGTGCCCCTACAATGCCGAGGCATCGGGCTGCGTCGTCCAGTGTGCGATGAGGGTTGCGGAGCGTATGGGCTGGGGTGTTCTGACCAGGTAATAAGTAACGTGAGTATAGTTGCGCTTGCACACCGACTTACCATGCACGTCGCCGCTCTTAACGCAGTTCATATGTTATTAGACCTTGGGTTATTAATAAAGAAGCTGGAACTAAAACGATCATAATGAGAAGGTCCACAAAACTACCCTTCTGGATATTAGACGTGAGTGGGATTCTTATCCCTCCTATACTTTACAGTGTCCAGTTTGATAAAACAATTTAATGGCTTCTTTCTTTGGATTTATTTTTGTTTTTTTTACATTTTTTACTTAGTAATCTTGGTGGCATTCGAAAATATTGATAAGTCTATTATCCACATATGTCATAGAAGCATAACTAGTTATACACAATAACGGCGTGAATATCCCACGGCACTCAACTCATTCATGTGAACAATGGTGGCAGAATTAGACTTTTCGACATAAGCGGCCGTAATGAACAACTAAGTGGGATGTAATAGTTTCTACTCTATCATCCCCTCTTCACTTTTTACTTCATTCTCATGCGTAACATCCCTTCCTGTTGAACCTTTAATAATTTGAAAAGGGTACGAATAGAAGCTTGACCTTGTTTTAAGTACACATATTTATCTATGCGATTTCTCAAAGATATCTCAAATTTTGAAGTAAATAAAATATTTCCTGTAATGTTTTTCTGATAAACAAAATGTGTGGATGGTAAAACCCTATGCATCGCCCCACGATAACAGCGTTTTAGAATACGCTTTTTAGTAATTTACCTTTTATAAACCATATATCCATTGATACGAAGTACTATTTTAGGTGCAATACTCTATTATATATGCATCAACATTATACTTAGTATGCTCTTTTTGTACAATGCAAGGTTTAAACAAACAAAATTTAAGTTCCTTTTCACTTATTCCTCCGATCTCTGCTCATTTTTAGTGAATACAGGGAAAGGGGATAAAATAAATTCATTGTTTTTACTATTATTCTAGAATACAAAATAACAATTGCTCAGTATTGATGTTAACTTCCTCAGACAACATTCGTCTTTGAAAACCTGATTAGGTTGACGATTAAAAAAAAGAAGCTGATTAATATATTATTTTTATTTTCATCATTGAATGCGATATCTCTTTCTTTTAACTTCTTGTTTGCTACTTTCTTAATAAAGATGATTTTTTTTTCGCAACTATATAACGTATATTTTAACAATACTCAAATAAGCAACGACAAACAAGGTGAACTTGACATTCTCAAAAAGGCTTGAATCCACAAAAAAAATCGAGGAAACCATTTTTTACATGGTATAACAACAGAATAAACGTGTACTTATACCTCTAAACTAAACTTCTTTCAGGGTATTTAAGATTTTTTAATTCGTTATTACAAAAATATATCAAATTATTTTGCGCTAGGCTTCTACGTGTTGTGTTACCATTGAAATGGGCGCCTTACCAAGCCGTGAAACACATCAAAGAGGTCTCTACAGTCACCGCCATGGCCGTAATCGCCGCAGTGAAATCATTCTTATTCCACTAACTTCTACCTTTTTCCCGAGCCCCGACTGCGACCTCTTTCAGCATCTTTACAATGCTCGTAATCGGCGAACGGTGAAGTATTACCTGCGAGCACCTCGTTCCACCGATTCGACAATTGAAAGCGACTATTTCTGTAATACTGTGCGGGTAAATGAACCTGAAGAGTTCAATAAATTTAATCAGGAGCGATTTGTATCCGAGAAATTACCAAAAAAGCAGCCATACCAATCCTCACAAACTCAGGCTAGTGGGTTGAATTTAAAACCCCAAGCACCAAACCCTCTAAACACAATGGCAAACGGTGGTGAGAATCAGTTTAGCTGTTCTATGACTGGAGGAGAATCTCACAGGAAAAGCACACCTCAGGACTACGACTATCAAAGCTACTCTGATACACCCGAGGGTCTTTACCATGTACTTGTTCACGAGACGGATCTCTGCGTCTACGATACCGACTTTGAGTTGCGGGATGCATACTATAAACAAATACAGGAACAGCGGATGGAATTGGATAGGGTTCAAAAAGAATGGTGTCGTCGACCATCTATGAATGCCTCCTTGCATACGGCAACTGATCCATCGCATAACATTCCTTCTACCAATACCCCGGCGTATCACTTACCACAGCGACAATCGCCGCACCCTTTCATGCAGGGGAAAGCATATTCCAAGGATATGGACCCCTCAGAATTTTCGACGCAGCTACCGAAAGGAAATTGGGCCCCAGGGCCTTCTGCATCTATTCCTCCACCTGTGCCGGATGTGTCATCCAATATTGAGAATATTTCATTTGACGCGTTTGTCAGTGGTTACATCGCCGCTAAACGATACATGAGAGGAAAAAAGAAAAACACAAATTATCGTGCCGTTGACAACAACTTCAACAATGGAATTGATGATGTGGGAGTTGACATTAACCATTCAACGACTCGCGTGGATCAGGACATGCCGAGGCAAACCTCGTCTTCAACGGCGTATTCAGATCCGCGCAAGTACGTCAAGCACACTACTTCGCCCTCGGCGTACTATATTCACCCCATCCCATGTGTGATCGCATCGCGCTACGTCGAAAAGAAGCCCCCCGTACCGGACGATCCTTACTGCGTGATGTTCGAAGGCTTTTACGTAAAAATCATGGGCATGTTCGGGCTTTTCCCGTCCACCGTTCCGATGCGCTACGAGAAGGTCTCGGGTGACTCCCACGAGACGGCGATGGACGATTTAGCCACCGAAGCGTCGACAGCGCACCAAACCCGGCAGCATCACCATCGCGCCATGCCACAAAAGGAGGACTATCCAAGCCACGATGACGACATCGACAATGAGGTTAACATCGAGCAGCATCTCCTCAAGGGCAGCATGTTTGTAGACAAGGATGTTGGGGACCAAATCCTCGGCAATATGGTCATGCTCGCGGCGCATATGTACGTCCGACAGTGTATCGAGGCCCGCATTCAGCCCCAATGCATCCCCATGTTGCCCTTTTTTATGCGCTTCCCCCTTTCCAACATCCCCATGCTGCAGTTTGTGAGGGAGTTTCGTCTTCGTCTTAGGGTGCTACTGGAGGCTGGGACGGCGAAATCGGGCTATAAACCCATGCACGCCGGCCTGGGTGGCATCAGCCCCGAGGAGGTCATTGAGGACTATGACCCCAAGCAGCTCCGAAGCGAGGCCGAGGGGTACCTCTTCGAGGAGAACATCCCCGACGTTGACGGCCCGCGGGAGCTCTTTATGGGTGCGCAGCTCCACCAGGAGTACATGTCGGCGATCAAGCGCCCCACGTCGAACACCAACCCCATGGGGAACTTTCCCATCATGATGCTCTCTGGCTTTAACGTCCAGCACGCGGCGTTGCGGCATCCGGCCCTGAACGTGGCCCGCCTGGGACGCCGCTCCAGCTTGGCCAAAAACCACCAATGGGGCAGCGCCCTCCTGCCCACTGTGGATCCCCAAGGCTTGGGCTACCCCTCGCAGCCCTCCACCTTCCCCTGCCTGTCACCCAATCAGGAGGCCCATAAACTCGACCTGCTGGAGCGGCGAAAAAAACGCTTCCGGCTCTGGGTGGAGAAGGGGTACATGTGTATTTGGGCAAGTGCAGCCTACGCGCGCCGGGCCTGCATTCTGTTGGCCCAGCAACTGAACACCACCGTGGACGGGACGGCGCTCCCGGGGATGCGGTCGTGGCGGTACCGCGGGCTCCTCCACGGCGGCACCCACGTCCCGCGGCCGGAGATGGCGAACGACACCCTGATCGTCGCCGAGGACATCCCCTCCGCCGGGCTCTGGCAGGGCGACGTCCTGCGATGCTGCACAAACGAGGAGCTGCTCGCCTACCAAGCCCACCAGCCATTGCCGCTTCCGGGCGCCTGGCGGACGGCGCTGTCGAGCTCGCCCATGGCCACCACGCGCAGTGCGAAAGGGGTTCCTGACAGTTCGGATATCGGTCAGTCTGGGAATCCCGCTTTACAGGAGCAAGTGCCGGCCCCAACGGGCGCCTTTTGGGTGCGCGGCTCCGGCGGGCTGGATGACAGCTTCATCGACGTCACGGAGCCTAACATCTCGCTGAATCCGAAGATGGATAAACAGATTCAACAGGTTGCCCAACAACAGGCAAGAAAACGCGCTGCCGCTGCGATAACCGTGGCCAAACATCACAACTGCGTGCCCGTGAAAGAAGAGATCGCTGTGGCGACGATGATGACCCTTAGCCCCACCGACAACACGACGGTTATTGACTATCGTGAGGGAACGCTCAAAATTGAAGAGGTTATCCTTTCGTGGATGCGCTCTGTGTACATGCAGACACGTAAGATCCCTGAAGACGAGCAAGGGTGGCTGTGCGACCCGAGTGGTCACCTTGTGCGTCTTGACCGGTACACTTTCCACCGCTTCGAGCACGACGGGGTGCGCTTCTTTATCGGCTCCACGACACGATTCGTTGGGCAGCAGCAGCGAATCGATAAGATCTTGGACGAGTTGAACACCATGGAAAAGCGGGAGCTGCAAATATTATCAACTGAAGGCGATAAAACGGTTTTGAGTGGCACCGTTGAAGCCTTGGCGGGTCCGCGCAGCAGAGATTCCCTTCTTTGGGAAAAATACCGCTGTTCTGATCCGCATAAAGTGGATAAGACTTTATTAACATGGAGAGAAGCCGTTGGTGACTCGCAAACCTCTTTAGAGATAGTGGATGATGATGACGAGGATATGTTCCACCTCGTACATATTGGTTATGGTAATTATCTTGGTTCCGATGATTAGAAATATATAAATAAATAGAGGAGGGCCGTATGCGTAAGTGGGCCTTCCTTCTCTGATCCTCATCAAGCATCAGAAAAATGGAAATGCGCCTGTATTTTGGGACCGGTGAAATTAATTTCGCCGCATAATGATTCTATCAGTGAGGGATCGTTGAACTCAACATGGCGGCCCATTTTCTAGCCCCAAAGGTTCTGTTAGCATTTATTAACGGTTTATTTACATTTAGATTTACCTATATAATTTTTCCATTTTTATCCAGTCCTTTATATCACACTATTTTGATTGTGTTATTTGGTGGATACATTCATTTTTCCCGTCTTAGGATTTTATTTTCCCACTGAAGCACCTCACAATAAAGTAGGTAAGAATATCACAAATAAAAGGAGATCTCCAGCATAAGCAGGGGATTTACTCCAAAAACGTAAATGTGAAGCCGTTAATGATGCGATGTAGGAAATAAATAATATTTAGCTTGAAGTTCAGCCGTGAATCGATTAAATACCTTATCATTATTGTTATTATTATATGCTTACATAAAGCTAAAAAAAAACTGACTGTGTTTAGTTTTGTCACAGATAAGTGTGAATCTGTGTACTCTTCCTAAACCTTTCTGGTGGCCTGAACGGCCTTGTCTTTGAAATACCTTTTTATATGTCAGTTACGACGACAACAATAGGCCTATCCCTTTTCTTCATTACAAACAACAGTAATAAGAAATTAAAAACATAGCTAATTTTACATTATTGATTCCCGTTCATTTGATGCGTGCTCATATGTAATTAAGGAGATATTTCTCTGAGTTTGTTTTGGATACACTCTTTTGCACTTCATATTTCTCCTTTTCACTCTTTACAACTATTTCCATCTAATTTCAAAAGGAGTTTTCATTCTTACCCTCTTCGCACTCTTAGGGGTTAGTTGAACACCATCCCTCTCACAAACTAGCACAGCATCCATATTATACCAAACCTTGCCGATTTTTTCCCTCCCTCACTCTCCCCCCTC